GGTCCAGCAAAATGTCTACATAGTATTGTTCAGTCTCCTTTTAATTTCATATCCATCCTGCTTTGCCTTTTGGTTTTATAATATTTACAGTGAGGAAACATTTGCAAGTATCTGCAATAAACCCAGGATAAAATAATATAAATAGCATATTAACAAACATGAAATATTGTAAATGTAAAAGCTAAAATTTCCATTTCTGAAAATCATTATAGTCCTTTTTTTCTTTTCTTTTTTTTTTTTTCCTTTTTTTCCCCCAGTATGGGTAAGATACTTTAGAATGATGAAGCTCTCAACATTAGGCAGTTTTGTTTCAAGTGCATGACCTAGGATTCTATTAATGATCAGTTCTGACCCCTACACCTCCCCGTAGACTCCTAGAGATAATGAGAAGAGCAGGGAATTATTGATCAAAATTAATGTGGCTTCCTTATGGATCCTCAGTTTCTGTGTTAAACAAAATCAATCAATGCCAACTGAAAAGCATGTTAATCATAATGTATGAACAAGTTATACCAACTAAGATTCTATAGAAAATAATATTGTTATAATTCTTGCAAAAGAATTAAAATATCATTAAAACTTTAAAACTTAAAAAAAAGACTTTGATTCACAACATAAATTGTCTGAACACTTTGTATTCAGTTACCTGAGCTCCAGCTATTTCAAATTTAGGAATTTTGGATATCAGTATCAATGTCCTGGGATTTCTCATAGCACTTTGTGGACATAAAAGTAGCCAGAACTCAAATCCAGAGCATGAGAATCTTCTAATCACAGAATTCAGGTAAGCAAATTAAAGATTGCCATCCTAACTTTCTCAAGCAATTAAACCACTTCTCTCATACCACTTTTCCTCTCATCAACTGTTTCTATTTTCTGGAGAAAATTGCTGTTTATTTTTGAGCTATAAATATGTATCGGACAGAATTACTGTCATCTATTGAACATTCAAATGTTCATCCCACTCTTCTCAGGTACTTGTACTCTATGAAACACTTTGGCATAGCAAATTTTATTTTCAGACAGATATAATACTTGTAAAAGAACTTAAACCATGGGTGCACTGTACACACACTGTTATCAAAGACTTTTTGTCACTTGCTTTAAAACAAGTTTAAATTAGCGAAGGTATTGGACAAAAATAGAGTGTAATTGCTCTCTTCCAGTCTCTCACAGGCTCCAGCTTAAAAAACTGATGAAGCTTGACTGACACACAGGGAAATTACTCTGGTGATAAACCAGATGCTATGTTGAAATATAATATCTTATCAAAGTAATGCAACTGAGGTCACTTCTATAGAATTTGCTCTCAAAAAAGGGACTAGGAAATGTTAGTTGTAAATAATAATAATATAAGTAAAACTACAGGCAAACTACTGTCATAATATCACAAAACCTACATTCATGAATAAAAATTACATCACAACCAAACATACCAAATATACATTATGACTCTGTGGGTCTAGGAATGAAGCAATCAACACTAAATCAAGCTTGAAATCAGTGTGAATATTGATGCCATTTTTTCAGATTACATTAGCAATCTGCCATACTTAAAGACTGCTAGAAAAAAATGAAGAGTAAATCAGCACTCTCCATCATAGAGAAACATTTCAAGAAAACCTCTGTTCTTCATGCACTGCTCAGACCAAGCCCTAAACACTGCATTTTCGTTTTTAAGAATTCCAGTTTTATCTATCTGACGTCTACTGTCTTTCAAAGACCTTAGCTGATATAGCAGTGGAAATCGGAGTGGATTCTGGTAATCAACTCAGGACTTACTCTAAGAGCTACATTGACAAGCGCAATCTCAGACAATGCTTGTAAGGTTTAAGAGCCCTTCAATTACTTACTCTTTTGCTGCAATAATTGACACTTGCATTTCAGAGCTCCAGGAAATCTACAGCATAACTGAATATATTCAAAGTCACTTCTCTCCACTAAACAATGAACAAATGTTAGCCAGGTACAATATGATGCATTTTAAGGTTGTAAAAATTACCACCTTTGGCACTGAATCTTCAAAACAATTTCTTGCCAGAAGCTGTAACACTACTGTTAGCTAATGTTTTCTTGGTAGTAAGTGTGACCTGCTAACCTACTATGCCTGCTTCCTTCACAAATGACTTTGCATTAATTATTAAAGGTCTAAGGTCTAATTCTGCTACTTTTACTTCAAAAACAACCTCATTAAAATCAAGACTATATAAAGAAAAAACTAAAAGAATCTTTGGAAAGCAAACTGGCATGAAAAAAAGTAATGGCAATGAGATTTTCTTTTTTTTGAGAGCAGACATGAAATGTCAAATAGCAATTACATTCTTAACATCAATTATAATATAAAGAAAATTTGCAAAAGCACACTCTATGTCCTATTTAAGAAAGCTTAGAGAAGGACTTATTTGTTTGTTTGAAAAATGGGATTTATATGAAAAAAGTGAATGGAAATGTCTGCTAGATGGAAGATTCTGTAGGTGAAAATATCCTTCTTTATAAACAAATCATGTTTGATTGTTGCATTCATAAACCAGAAGTACATGACTTAATATTAGAGACAAAATTAGCTTTTGTCAGACATTATTTTATGCAGATTTCATGTTCTGTCCAGAAGAAAGCATTTAGTAGCTGTGTTTGAAACACTTTATTCTAGAAATTAATGTAAACAATATGGAAAAATTCAATGCATATTCTTTACCCCATGAACGTGGTAAATTCACGGATGGATACTTGTTAGTCAATGGCCAATTTATCTGCCAGCTTTATTTGCAAGTGGAAGATTAGAGAAAAGATAAAGTGCTCATTTATTCTTTCCTATATAATTGTGTTTATGGTATGTAAAGCTATTTTTTTAACTTCATTCACAAATAAAACCTACAGATCAAAGATTTGGCTTGTGCCTTCTTTTTAATTTGTGAACTTGGTATACCATTCCAGGTATCATTAACCTTTTTGAGCTTTGATTACAAAACATCCCTAACAGCGTCCAGAAAAGCAAAGTAGCACGTCCTACATGTCTTGCAGTTATCATTCTTAGCAAATGGCTCAGCATCCTAACTATAAACATTTCACAGAATAATAAAGAACCATGTTATTAGATCTTATTAGAACTATGTAGAAAAGCTTTAAAAAATGAATGATAAAACTTGGACACAAATGTTAATGGGAAGCTCTATTTTTCACCTGATGATCTTCCCAATTATTTTTCAAATGTGGATTACATAAAGAGCCCTCTTATTACACAATACCTAACCATAGATCTTGTCATCCAGTTCTCTGTTTTCATAAAATTATTATATCAATTACATTGAAAGCAAAAGCAGAATTTGAAATAGCCCTTCTTCGCGTGTTCCCAATAAATAAATAAATAACTAAATAATACATTTATTTTTGAATATTAAATGACCTCAAACCTTCCATACTTGGAGACTAAGCTAATATAGCAATTGGAGAATGAAGTGTAGTCATGTCTTCTTACTGACACATACGTTCTACCTATCTAAAATCTCATCACCACAGGTGTCTTAAGGCAAGGCAGAGAAACAGTGAGTACCAGAGAGTGCTACATCTGATTTATCTTAGGCACTTAGGATGAGATAAGTTACTCCGAGAAGGTGCCTTTTGCTCTCCATTTGGTATAAAGAAAAACTGGAGTTACTAGGTTAGACAACTAACTTTGGATACACAAGTTACAGAAAATGAATCTCACCATAGGCCATAACTGAGGAAAATTTGTGTTTTGTTCCCACCGGATGATGCAAAACTTATATTTTCCCTTAGAACTTTGCTGTTTTAAAATGGGAAACATATGTTGAATTTTTTAATTGCTAAAAAGTATTTTTGCTAAAGTTACAACTATAAATGACACAATAAAATTATTCCTTTCTTAAGCAATTAAGACTATGATCTTACAATAAAACAGGAAAGAAGAGAATTACTGGATATAGTATCACATTACAAAAGAGACAGCTAAGAAACTGTCTTACAGGGTACCAAAAACAGTGAAAGGAAAATGCAAAAATAGAATGTGCATGCTGTTCTATATTTAGTTTTGTGGGTAGGCTCTAAAATCTTTGAACTGTCTTCTTTGATAATCACTGGTAAGACCAAATTTTGAGGCAACAGTAGGGTGTTCTCAGCAATATTTTTATTCGAGGACTCAAACCAGTCAGTATTCAAAGGCAATCTGTGAATTTATTATAGTTCTATACATAAGCATCTTCTTTTTACTTTTGTTAACTGAGCCTAGATCAAAACATAGCATTTTGCATCAACTATTTTCAATACGTCTCCAATTTTATTTTTAATATGAATGCTTGCTAATAGCCTTGTACTGGCAGACCTGTCTTGAAGATTGTCCCATTGTTAATGTCTTATTTACCTGTAACACAGAAATTAATTTGTCTCAAAAAATGATTTCAAAGTGAAACATTTTCATACCTCCCTGTATGTCAGCAGTTTTCCAGCTGTATGCTATCACTGCATCTGCAGTGAATCATACAGAATCATCATTTTAAGGAGAGAAGGAATGCTGGACATGTGAGGTATATTCAGATACTATATCCCAACTATAGTATTAGTGTTTTTGTCAACAACATTACCTATCACACAGGAGCAGTCACATTAGCTTCCCAGTGGCATAAAATTTTGAAGCTCTTTTGCAGTGTTTTTTTAATGTTATAAGGAATAAAATGTAGGGGAAAAAAGAATGCCATTTCACTGCTGATCCTGTTATCACATGCAAAATGTAACAGCACCATGGCCTTAACATTCAACTGCATATCAAGCTAAAACAAAAGTGAAAATGCCAATTAAAAAAATTGTAACTGAAATATCTATACTATTTAGTCACACCCTTTTGAGGAATTTCAATGGTATTGTCATTGCTAGTTGGGACACATGAAAATTTCTTCTATAGAACTTTTATTTTTTTTATGAGACACTACCAGTTTATACCACTCTTGTATTGGCAGAAACTGATAGAATAGATCTTTGTTTCTTACCATCAACACAGGCTGGCCTTGCTCTTGTTGTACCGGCAATCTGTCCTTTTTTACATGCACAGCGAGCTGTTTGTCGGGCTATAGTCCTTCGGGGCTGACTGCTATCTCTGTCCAAAGTAACAATCTCACATGTACCTGCAGCCAGTTGACCTGGAAAAAGAACCAGCAACAGGTACCAGAGTCACTGAATGCACTACAGGCAATCTATTACAGCCGAATAGAGTCACAGCCCTATGTCACAGCAGACACTCCACAACAAATGGGCAGCCAGCTGATGGATATAATAAAACTGAGATGACACACAATTTTTTCTTTGTGGTGGACATATGAAAACCCTGCAAACTGGTTCTGTCAGAAAATGATTATTGTTCCATAAAAGCCAGAGAGCTGAGGTCACACAGGTTACTTTTACTTAGGTCGGCTAAGTAAAGGAATAATCTGCTTTTACAGCAATGAAATCTAAATGGTGTGCTCTTTACGTACTTTCAAAAAAGAGATGATAAAGCATATGGAAAACAAAAAACTTCCCCACATGTCCATGAATATAATGAAGTCTTAACTGCTTTGTGTGTTTTTTTGGAAAGAAAAAGTCTTTCAAAGTATGCCCATGTTTGACCAGATTGTCAGACCTTTGGCTCTTGCTTTATCTAAACTGAACAGTCATTCATTCTCTACCTGACTCATATTTGAAGTAGCTGGTCTTTTTTCTTTTACTAAATTTACGATGTAACCATGCTGCAAACGATAGTAAAATGACACTGCCCCATTGGCTCAGTAACATTGTTTGCTTTTTATTGACTTCTCCAATATACATAGCTTTTCCTGAACACTAAGGAAATCCACACCACCTAATTCTGAATGTGGACCATGCTATGAAAAGCAAAACAAAAAAGTTGCCAAAAATTATTTTATATAGAATATTAGTCTGAAGTAAATGTTATACATTTAAAATGATGCACTTCCTCTGGTACAACCAATAGTAGGCTACTAGTATACCAAAATACTACCTTCTACAAGCAAGAAAGATACATTATTGAATTTCAACGTGCAGTAAGACTGAAAAAACTCCCAGCTATCACTTTGTATTACATATAATTTCTGGATTTTATGGTACAGTAGTAAATATAATTTCTATTGGATTTTGTCTTTGTAGGCAATCGATTATAGACATTCAAATGAATATTTGCAAAAATATATCTGCAAATCACAAGCTTACTATATTTTGTTTTCATAAAAAAAAGATTGGAACAAATGCAATATTGTATCTACAAAAAAGTTATGCAGTTTAAATAATATTAACAGTAAATTATTTTTATGCTGTTGAAATGTTGAAAAAGAATGATGAGACAAAAAGCAGAAATTTTAAATTTATATTAACATCAAACTTAAAAAAAATGCAAAAAACCCTGAAACATATACGAATGGCATTTAATTTAAGTCTAAAAGTGTAATGATGTTTCTGTATACTGCATTCTTTCCATTCAGAGTACAAGTTTACCCAGTATATTCTCAGAACCAGCTTACGATGCTTCCCATTGTGTGGATACTGTTTTGAAACTGCCAGAATAGCAAAACATTGTAGGCTGTCAACAGCATTGTGACTGATTCACTGCTAAGCCACCTAAATTGTATGTTGCTGTGACTCCTACAGTGCAGTGAATTACAACATGGTAAAACTGAGGATCTCAAAGATGAATATGGAACAAGGTACTCTACAAATTCATGCAAATATATGACATATATGTAAGTAACATACATTAAGCATTTATAAATACAGATATGATATTCATGATAGTGAACACTATCACCATAGTGTTTAATGGCTGCTGGCAACTGACTTATGAGCTACAGTCAGTCCTGGGTTTCTATTCTTTTCCAGCCACTCTGTTAATAAAAACATCTTAGGATAAACATACCGATGAAAGGATTTGTATCTGTTATATGCTGGTTTTTACTTTGTTTCCTCAAAAATCTTGGGTTAGACAGCAAAGGTTTAGTAAGAAAGATAGTGGCACACGATTTTCCAGATAGGGACAAGGGAAATCCAGCTACACTGAAACATTTTGAACCAAAAAAAAAGCATTCTTTTTTCCGCCATCGCTAAAATATTTCATTCTGGCTTGCAGGAGACGTATTGCTCCCAAGGAATACAGCTGTCTTAGTAGATCATGTAAAAAAGACATAATCAGAGGTGTATTTAGATCTTGACCCCTTAGGCATTTGAACATCATGATTACAGTCCTGCATTGAGAATAGAAATTGAATGGAAACCAAAGAAAAGGAGGAAGCATAAATATGTTATATGTAAGTGTTCCTGAGAGTATGGGTTTCCATATTCTCCACTATCCGTAAGTCTTTACACTATTGTTACTTTCATTAAAAGATATGGTAAATCATATAATCTAAGTGGATCACTATATAAAACCCCATTTCAGAGGAAAGGAACCAGTTTTACAGCACAGTGAAGGTGAATAAGGACTATACTCAGAGAAAAAGAACAATGAAGCTTTATGTCAAGATAATTTGTGAAAGCAAAAAGCTTTCCAGGGAATGCAAGCAGTGGCTACCAATAAGAATACCTATAGATAATCTTTTCTGCTTTTGGACCTGTCCAGTTTTAGTTCTGCATAGGTTCATTTTGAGCCAGCTGGGCTATTTGTTTTTTATCACTGTTTTCAGCAGTTTATTTTGTTTAGAGATGATAATTTCTTCCAGGCATAGCAACTTTATTTTTTTTATGAACTTCAAAAACTGGGATACCTAAATGAGAGCAATTGCTATACAAAGATAATGTCACACTGCCTTTCAAGGAATTTTGTGCAGCTATTAAAAATAAGGGAAAATTGGAAAGATTTTTAAAACATTTCATAGAATTCTTTTTTTTTAAAGATCATTTTTCTGTTGCCATTCTTGTCTCTATAGCATAAGAAAATTAAAAGTTATTGTAAAGCTGCAGCAGCTCTTCCCACATATATGACATAAATATTTCCTGGTCATTGTGTCACAGGGTGCAAAGATTGCAAGTATATTGAGCATTGCAACATAGTGTACATCTACTGTTACTTGGCTTTAGATGGCTGTAAAGCATGAAAAGTATTAGTTAAGGTTATGAAGGCCCACCTCCAGAAAGAGAGTCATCCTTTTGTAAAGCATGTCCTCTCTGTCTCTCATTAAGTAGAGAGTAAGTCTACAGCAGTACCTTACTTAGAAGACATGTATGCTACTTTTACTTTTTAACAATTTAATCTAGAAATATAATGTACAAAATGATGGGAAAAAAGGAATATACTTCTTCTAAGTACCAAGTTTCAAGAATTAGGATACCCTTCATTTTCAAGGAAGTTGACATAGTGACCTCTTTCAAAGATATTAATGAAAAAAAGCCATTCACCTGTGAGCCTCTGAACACTCTCCACTCCTAAGCACAAAGAAAACTCAAGGCAGCAACAGGTGGAGTTTCACTGGAGCTTTTCCAGCTGAGGGACTAAGAGCCACAGTCTATGGAACAGTTATAAAGACTCCATATTTTAAGTACATCGTATTTATGTACTTGCAGTCCACAAAGCAATTCACCACCTTCCAACCTGAATGAAATAATCTTGGGGAAAAAAAAAGGCCAGCATCATCAGAGAACTCTGCTTCATTCTAGCCTTGTCTGAAAGCTTTTCTTCCAAGAAAAAAATGTCATTTTTTATTATTTTATGGACCAAGCATAAAGATTGTTTCGAAGTTACCATTATCCAGTTTTCCAAGTAAATGAGTGGGTATTTCTTTGTTACTGTTCCTGTTTTCATATTTATTTTATATATATAAATTTTTTATATTTTATAAATATTTATTTTATAAGTTTATTTTAGTAATTAAGACCCCACTGGAAGTTATTTGATTTTGTGTTGCCACCATCTCGTTATGAAACAAAGAAAAGGCTCAGGTTCTTTAATGCTCTTCTGTAATGTTGTACCTCGTTCTTAAAATGCCGACTGATATGTCCCCCTCTCTATCCCGCCACAAGCACACATGCTTCTATACGGAATTCTTTCAGAAAAAAGGAAAACTGCAGGATTATGAATTAAAAATGTAAGTAAGTCAAACTAAACCAAAACCAAAAAAACATATATATATACACACATATATATATATATATAAAAACATATATACATATTCCAAATATTTTGGCTTCTAGCTTGCACCCATGGACTTGTTTACAGTAATTGCTGTACTCAGCACCTGTTTTGTTTTTTTCTGAATTAAGTCCCATCGTGATCGGTTCTAAAACTGCTCGCTGTGAGACTTTCATGGAAGTTTGTAGGAATCAGTGAGTTTAGGTATGTATATATAGCAAATGGCACAGGAAGTATCTCAAGGTAAAACTATTATATTCTTAGAAGGTTTTTAGTACTTACATTCTTGAAAGAAAAGAGTTTGTTATTGAAAAGTTTAAAAGTAAATGGCATTTTTTATGTGTATTACTAAAAGCCCTCTGTCAACTATACATCATTGCTGAAAGAATAAAGCTTTCGAAAGATCTGTATTGTCTGTCATAGGTAAAACCCTCAAATAGTAAATATTTTCATATTACATGAAGGGTACCTGGGAGAATATTTTAATTTTCTGTGGAGGAAAATACTTCTGTTCTCTAACAGAAAATAAAATCTGCCTAATCTGCATTGATTACAGCAAGCAAGTTATAGATATTATGAATTTTTAATTTATGCATGCTGAAAAGCTGAAGACTTTCCCTCAAATTTGTTTAAAGAAATAAAACCAGATTATGAACTCATGGTATCTGTGGGTAAAATGAAAAGAAAAATTGATCTAAATATACGTTTATAGGGTTTTAGATTTCATGCTCACCCAGAAAATCCACTTCTGAATTGTACATGCAGGCTTATATTATAGTTTCAGTGAACAGTTTTTCCATGCATCACCAATTTGATGCCTAGCAACACAAGTTCTTTTAGTTCAAAATGCATAAAGTTAAACAGTATTAAAAATCTTGGCGAGATTCAGATACTCTTTTGTCAGTGAACACAATGCAGGATTTGTTTCAAAATCAGATCATAGGAATACATTCAGTAGTTTTCTATTACAATATTGAAGTTTTTCTGACAACAGAGCCATGCCAACTCCTGAGCAGAGCTGAATATCAA